ATAGGATTGTATTATATTGTGTTATTTGAATTCTCTTTTGAGCATAATTATATCATAATTATTGTGGTAGAAATTTATGGTGACTTATTTTCTTTCAAACATGCTTGCATGTATTAGATTTGTTGCGTATTCATGACATGTATTGATTGTTAGACCGGAGAGTTTATGATATTGATATGTATGATATATTGTAACAACATAGTTTGCCTCCACTTAGGACAAAGTGGTTGGCCTTTTTAAGGCCTCATTTCTTAATATTTACCGGGCCAATTTTGTAAAAAGGGAAAGTAGGACAATGACACCTCCCGGTTTTGTTCTGTAAGGAGGGAAGCTATAGTCTAGGTTTGGACTCTGTAACTTTAGCCGAGTACGTCCTAAGCACTGGAGTAGCTTGAGTTAGTCCAGTGTGTGAGCTAGACTTAGAGGTGGAAACAAGCCAGGCCAGACTGTAACATCCCAAATTTTATTTGGGTTTATAAGTAGTTATTTATAAAAAGTTTGGATTAAATCATTGATCAAGCAAATAAAATATATAGATAATAATAAATTTAAGAAAATAAGACATTTAAAAGAGAGTCAAATAAAATAAAACAAAATTGTAAATAAGTGCATAGGTTTTAAAAAAAAAATAGAAAAAATGGCTATGGATGATGATAATCATAGTAGTAATAATAATATGAAATAGATTGAAATTCAAATTTCAAATATGTTATATGAAGTTTAAATATACACACACACCAATATTTATATTTAAAAAAAAAAGAATTGAGTTTAACATTAAAAAAAACGGGGGTATTATCCTCGTCAAATAAAACCATTATATTGGGTTACTTTTAAATATATATATATATATATATATATAAAGATCTGATTCGAATTTGATATATATGAATACCTATACTTTTGAAGACCCTCCTCTGCTCCGTTTTCAGTAACCATGCCGCTGCAATTCTTCGCATACTCCAGAGGTATTGACTTCCCTTTCTTCCTATCTTCTTCCTATAGTTTGGCTCCATACATGAGTTTTGTCCTTTTCCCCATTAATTTACGTTAGTATATCTTATGGTTTAAAGTCTATCTTGGCCTTTAAATTTTGTCTTTTCTCACCTATGAGCATGTGCGCCCTTTTCAATCCTCCCTATCCAATATACATGTATGTATATAATACCAAATGTACTCTCTTCTTGGTTTAAGCAAACGACCAGTTTTATTGGTGGGTATATATATTTATATATACTAAGATACACACGCCAATTTATAAACAGTGGGGCAGATATAAAACAAAATTTATAGCCCAGCCTAGCTCCAAGGTTTTTTTTTTTTTTTTGATCAGAAGCTCCAAGGTTGTTGAGTGGCCTCCAAATTTCTTAGTGTGTGCGCGTGCGTATACGGATATATATATATATATATATCTATGAGAGAGAGTGTGTGTGTGTTATGTTACGAGTTTAGTTAACTTATTTATCTGAAACTGATGCTCCTTTTTGAAATTTAGGATTCAAGCTTTCTCTTTCATTAGATATGTCGAACCTTTATAATGGCTCAGTGTTTTCTTCACAGATGTAAAACCCGTACATACTTAGCCTTATCTATATACCCACATGTAAAATATAGATTTAAATTATAACAATTTAAAATTTTGTAAACCGGGGAATCTGCTATTAAAAAAAATTTGAATAAATTTTCACTACGAGGAACTTTAAGGTTCTATAAATATGCTAGGATAAATTTAATAATAGTATTTACCTAAATGAAAAATGAGATTTTTATGAGTGTCATTATATCTATTTTTTTAGCTGACGTTAGGGCCCCTAGATAGCTTAGGAAAATTTTAGAATAATAGGGGTAAATTTTTGATAGATAAATTTTTTTTTTAATTAATAGTTTGGTACATGTGTGTGACTTTTGTAGACTCTCACTGAGAGGCTTGTTGCTTGGGATTTGCTGCTTGACTACTTGTGATCTTGAGGAAAACTAGGTAACTTGGGGTTTTTCTATGTGTGTGCAATCTTTATCTGTCATGATTAAATTGGTATCAACAGTAGAAGATACACATAACTCTATCAGCTTAATGGATACAAATAAATAAATAAGACTAAAAAGGTGAAGGAATAAAATTGTATTATCTTTTATGTTATTTGAATTTTCCTTTAAGTATGAATGTGTTTTGGTTATTTTTGTGAAAATTTATGGTAATTCGTTTTCTTTCAAGCATGCTTGCATATACTAGATTTGTTATATATTCATGACATGCATAGATAGTTGGACTTGGGAGTTTATGATATTGATATATGTGACAAATTATGACCACGTGGTTTGCCTCCACTTAGCGCAAAGTGGTTGGCTTTTTTAGGGCCCCATTCCTTAATACTTACCTGACCAGGTTTGTAGAGGGCGAACGTGGAATAGTGACACCTCCTGGTTCTTTTAAGGAGGGGAGCCATAGTTTAGGCTTGGGTTCTGTATCTTTGGCCAGATACATCCTGAGTACTGGAATAAGGTTAGATGAAGCAATAAGGGAGGAAACATCCATTGCATATGAACATAATATATTATTAAATTAGTTACATATTTTGCTAATGATTATTTAAGCCGTTGCAATATCTGTTTGCCTAGCTAATATGAAAATATTTGGGTAATAGTTGTATATCTACATGGTTGAACTCTGGGTTATTGAGATTTTTGTACTCACCCCAATTATTTAACATTTTCCAGGTGACAATCCTTATAGGGAGCAAGGGAAGGTACTAGAGGAGTGAGCTAGTGGTTCTTACACTTCTCTAGCACATGCTGAGTTAATTTGATTCTTTACTATTTGTCATGACCCTAGGACACCAAAATCATTATTTTGTTAATTCCTTGAATTGATGGACTTTACCGCTTTATTTCAAGCTTTCTCCACGATTTATGTTATGTTAGACTTTGAGACTGCAGACTTGGATATTTATGGTCGAATTATATTATGGGTTTTATCGCTCATGTTTATTTGATGTGGTAGTTAAAAGGCTGAGTCTTTAAGTGTTAACTTTATTATTGAGACCTTAAGATCAAACTAGTTTTTATATGGTGTTTTGAGTAGCTTAGAAAATTGGGTGTTACACAGGCTAGACCTGTTTAGTAACTTGCTGACCTGGGTCTGGCCTGTGGCTTGTAACAGGCCTTTTTTTCCAGCCTGAGCCTGGCCTGTATAAAGACCTGGCTTAACCTAAGCCTATTAAAAAAAACTATAATTTTAAAATTTTCAAAATGCATAGTAAAAAAATACATAGGCTAATAAAAAAATGTAAAATATACATACTATATAATAATTATTTTTTATTATTATCTTTTCTTTAAATTTTAATGTCATAAGTAATATTTTAAATCTTAATTACAGTTAACATTATTGAAAACAAGTTGTAATTATATATCAAAATTTAAAATAAGACTAGATATAAGTACAAAATGAAAATTAAAAATAAGATAAAAAACAGGCCAGGTTAGGCCTAACAGGCTTTCCAAAAAGTCTAGGCCTGGCTTATTAGGTTAAAGAGGCCATCAAAAAGGCCTAAGCCTTTTTATATTTTGAAACAGGCCAGGCCAAACCAAACCAAATACAGGCCAGGTTGCAGGCCCCTGACAGGCCGCTGGCCTATTTCCACCCCCAACTAGGCTGTGGATAAGCCTATAGTCCAGTCAACGGAATAAGGTTGGACAAAGCAATAAGGGAAGAAACATCTATTGCATATAAACATGATATGCTATGAAATTAGTTATATCATCTGCTAATGATTATTTAAACTGTTGCAATACTTGGTCATATAGCCAATATATCGCTTATGTGTAATGGTTTGTCTGTGTATGGTTGAACTCTGGGTTATGGAGACATTAGTACTCACCCCATTTATTTAACATTTCCCAGGTGACAGATCTTATAGGGAGCAAGGGTAGATACCAGAGGAACAAGCTAGTAGCTCTTACACTTCTCAAATACATGCCGAGTTAATTTGATTATTTACTGTTTGCAATGACCCTGGGACGTTAAACCCTTATTTTTTTGTTAATTCCTTGATTGATGGATTATAGTGCTTTATTTAAAGTTTTATCTGTTGCTTGTGGTAATTTGGATTTTGAGATTATTGACTTGGATATTTAGACTTGAACTATATTATGAATTTTATTTTCTTATTACTCGACATTATGTGTTGCATTGATTAATGAAATGAGTCTTCTTGATTGAAAGGATATTATCGGATGCTAAAAGGATAGTGACAGGACAGGTGTTATAGACTCAATTCCTTAACTTTTCACTTTTTATATGATAATCCTTGTCATCTACAATTAACTCCCAACTCATTTTATATGGCTGCCAACTCAGGCCCCATGTGGATTTTCTTAATAAAATTTGAACAAAAGAAGGTAGTGTGGGGAGGAGTGGAAGCGGAGGAACTAAACGAGATATGGGGCGAGATCCATGAATTTGTGTCTGAGCCCCGTGAAAAGCTCCAGGTTGCCACAAGCAGGACTTCATCCATCCTTGATCCTCACATTGCTCAATATGGCGAGTCAGCTCATAGAGAAAGAAAAGCTCCAGAGATTCTTATGAGTAACGTGACGGAGCCATATTTCTTAGTGAGTTTCTGGAGAGTTCGATGAACGGGTGGCTCTGTTGACACCGGAGTGTGGGTATTTGACAAGAAAAGAGGGACCAAACTCATCTCCAACACGACGAGAGAATCTTTTAAGCAAAAAGAGCCACCACATGCTAGCGCCAGCATGGCCATCACTCCCGGTGCTTGACCCGAATTGCTCGTCTACCTCCCAACCAACCACTTCATATACCCACTCTCTGATCTGGAGCCACATCTCCCTGAACCGGGCTGGGACTCGCCACCGTAACACCATCAATGGCACCTTGGCTATATCTCGTTCATTTCCACCGCTCTCTCTCCTCCCTCACACCTCCTTCTTTTGTTCAAATTTTATTTAAAAATCCACATGGGAGTTGAGTTGGCAGCCACATGGGATGAGTTAGAAGTGAGTTGCAGATGACAAGGATAATACTATAAAGAAGGAAAAGTTGAAGCACTGAGTCACAAATGAGTCAAAAGTTGAAAGTAAAAAATGAGAGACTGAGTTATAAACAAATTAAAAGCTGAAAGATAAAAAAAGATTAATTTTTTTAACATAAAAAATAGTAATAGTAAATATTTTAGATAGGCTCCTAACATCTTTTATAACGGAAACATAATAATTCTCTTATACATAAGAAGAAAGGGAGTAATATAAGTCTTATTACCTTTTTTTTCATTTTGTATGTATTTTTAGATGTATTACCATCGTTTCTATTTTTTTTGCCTGTTACCATTGTTTCTATTACAAGCTTACTCCTGAGCAATGTAAAAATTTTTGCCTCTACAATTCAAAAGTAACCTTTAAAAAAAATATATACAAAACGACAAAACTTATGTAAAGCTCCTTGTATGTCAAATTCTCCGATGATCATATGTTCCTTTTTGTTTCATATAGATTTATGATCAAATACTATTAAATATTAATATTTTATAAATAAGATATATAATTATGTGTAATTGAAAAACTTGATATAATAAATATAAAGAACTTGACGTAAATATTGTCCTACACAAAAATATCTAATAAAATTTCTAAAACAAAACAAACATAAAAAGAACTTTGAAAATACTAAATTCTAATTCAAAGAGCTAACAATTCATAGTGCCAAAAAGAAAAGGAGAATCTAGAAGGCATTTTAAAATTAAAGCAAAATGACAAAAATGCTTTTTTCTTTTTTTTTTTTTTTGACCAAGAGCTTTTTTCTTAATTTCTATTTTGAAATTGGTAAAATAAATTGAAATTTTGTTATTACCAACTAAAATTTAGTAATTGAGTATTTCCTCAATATATGATTTTCCCCCTCATTTTCTCATATATTTACGTTAAAATTGTGGCATGTTAATTTCTGTTTCAAAGTTATTAATAACTATTAAAATGTAGTCAATACTCGTATAAAAATTATAAATGACTGGAAAAAGAAGCTTTGTTTCTTGCTAAACGAAAGTTGTTAATACCAGTTGAAATATAGTTAATATCTTGATAAAAGTTGTGAATGATCTGAAAGAGTGATTTTATAATAAGAAGTTGTTAATATCTATTAAAATATAGTTAATATCTATATAAAAGTTGTGAATGATCAGTAGTCAAAACTAAGTAGTTACTTACACATCAAGAAAGATATATGTGTGCGCGCGCGTGCATAAGATGATATCAATGCATTGGTGATTTAATGGTTATCCTTAACTTTGGCATAACCATCCAAATAGTGGTGGGATCAAATCTCACTTCCATTCATTTATTTTTTAAAAAGTAAAGGGTATTTTTGTTACTTCTTTTAATTTCAATATGCCATTTTAGTTTCCTTAATATTTGTCATTAACAAGTTTTAGGTGTTCATTTTAGGATTTAGTATTTTCACACTTTTTTTGTTTCATTATTCCAATTTCTAACAACATGCGTTAATGTCTGGTTCAGAAGTCCGAACATACGATTTATTTGCCATGTAAAAACTAAATTATTACTCCCTCTGTGTTTATTTATAAGAAATATTTGACCAAACTACGTAGAAAAAATTTTGTTAAAACTAGTTAAAGATAGTAAATATGTAAAAACTAGAAATTTTTCTTTAAAAATATCTTTATTTATGAGTAGAGATAATATATGAAAAAAGAAAATTATTAAAATAAAAAAAGATGATTTGGAAAATAAAATAATAAAATATTGAGTACTTCCTCACGTTGTTATTATAAGAAAGTCATCAACAAATTCACATAGATCAAGAAATGATAGTTATACCATTAAACGTATTTCAAAATTATAAAAAATTTTAAATTTACCCTTATTTACATAAATGTTTTCTAATAATAATAATAATAATAATAATAATAATAATAATTTTTTGTAATCAAGGGTCACCCTATTGACTTTTATAATAAGAATTAGAGAGAGTATTAAAATAAATAATTAATAGAAGTAAAATAGAAAACCAATCCAAAAAAATTTAAAACATCATATAAATGTTTCTTATAAGGAAAAATGACCAAAAAAATATCCACTGAAATTGAAAAGGACAAAAAGATCATCCAAGTAAGTAAATTGATTAGAAGAGCATGTGGTATGAATCTAGAATATTCAAATTTTGATAGAAAGACTAAAATACCCCTTAAATGTTTTGAAAAGGGAAGTGTTCACTGCCCTAGTTCTTCCAAATTTCATACTCATCCAAACTCATCTTTTTCAAATTTGTCAAAGTCATCGTTTCACCAAAACCACAAAACTGTCAATCTCCTAACTTTTCCACTCACCCAAACTGTGAAGCTCTCGTTATCCCAAGTCATTGACTCACCCAAACTACAAAGTCACTGTTCTCTGAAGTCGTCTACTTGCATTGCCATTGTCAAGGATGGTTTCAATGAGAAATGTGCATAGCATCTGTGAGAAGCTTTAAAACCATTGAGCCATCATCACAAAAAGGGAAACTTTTTTTTGTTCCTATTTTTCCTAAATGTTGTTTATACTAAGTGCATGTACTAATGCATCTCCTTGAAGTTCATTACTTTCAATTTTTTTTATTGTTTTTAATGTAATAAAATAAGGAACCAATCTTTTAGTTCTATGAGATTTTACTATGACTTTTTATCTCTATAATGTGGTTCATTTATATTGGTTAACTTTCTGCTATCTTCTAATGAAGTTTATTTTTTAAAGTATGCTATTTTGTTATTTTGCGTTTTCTGCTCTGTTCTAATAATTCAAGAATAAGTAATAAATTTTATTACCTGAGCAGTAAATTTTGTTATTTAAGTAGTAAGTAGTTCTGGTTGGTATATGGTGAAATGACGATATTTGGGATGTGAATGACCATATTTGTATTGATATTTTTCTGCAAAGTCAAGAAAATTGACTTGTTATTGGAATTGAATTAATTTGGTAATAGAACTTACTGGATTTGTTATGTTAATAACTACATTGTTGTAAAGCAAATTAAGCTGAGTGGGTTATGGAATTTACTACATTTCTTAATAGAACTGATTATATTTCTTTTGATAATGACCAGATTATTGTCAAGAAAATATAGCATAGTGAATGACTATAAGGTTATGTTTTTTGTAGGAAGGAAAAATACTACTAGAAAGAGAGTCAAGCGAAGAAGTGAAGAATGTGTACATGTTGTTTCGAAAAGAATTTCTTGGATTGGGAAAGAAGTTGAGAATAGCATTTGTACAAACAAATGCATTATCCAACTATTGTTATAATATTTCACTTAAGATTGCAGGTGGAATTTGTTTACAGAAAACATATTGAATTATTATTATTGCACAGTTATTAATAACATGTGCTAATTGTGTTTACCTTTGGGCGTTATATAATGAAGGTAGCTTTTTATAACATTTGCAAAGTGATTGATAACTTTTGAAATGAATATAACAATTTCCATAATGTGTTTTGCAACCTCTCTATTTGCAACTATTTCTAAATCATTTGCACACAATTTTACTAAACATGTAACAAGAATAACAACTTACAAAATGAAAAATGACTATTTGTATAAAGAGTGTTGCAACATGTTTTTAAGCTATTTACAGACAATTTTACAAAACAAGTAATATGAATGACAATTTGCGTAATAAACGTTACCATTTACATTAGAGAATTTGCAACCTGTTTATTTGCAAAAAATTTTAATCATTTTGCACACAATTTTACTAAATATGTAATGGGAATAATAACTTGCAAAATGAAAATGACTGTTTGCGTAACAAATTTTGTAATATGTTTTAAGCTATTTACAGACAATTTTACAAAACAAGTAATAGGAATAAATTATTACATAATGAAATTTACCATTTGTGTCAGGAGATTTGCAACTTATTTATTTGCAACCATTTTTAATCCTTTTACACATAATTTTATTGACTATATAACGGGAATAGCAACTTGTAAACTGAAAGTGACCATTTGCATATTGAGTTTTGCAACATGTTTTAGTTAGTGTATTGATATGTGAAACCCTAGCCTACTTGTTTCCTTTCACTTCAGGGGCATTGCAGTCATTCCACCAAAACTTGCAAATCCCAAATTCACACCTCATGCCTTTCACTTATTTAGATGATCTTTTTGTCTTTTTCAATTTTAATGAGTATTTTTTTGGTCATTTTCCCTTCTTATAATAAGTATTAGGGTCTGTTTGGGTGCCATCCCAAACCATAGTTCGGGTGCCATCCCAAACCATAGTTCGGGAAAGAGACTGCTGGGGTGTTTAGATGAAATCAAACCATGGTTTGAAGAATAGTTTATGGAGAATAAATTCTTTTTTTTTGGACCAAAATGGAGAATAAATTCTTGGGAGAATAGATTTTGTGAAAAAGTGATTTTGATAAAGTGAGAGTATTTGGGTAGTTGTTATTAGAAGTACTTTTTATATGTACAAATTACTAAAAAAGTATAAGTTATATAATAATTATATAAAAGATAGATTTTATAATATATTTTAATTTGAAGGAATAAAATTGTTAATAATATATTTTTTACCAAGATAATTATACTCCCTCCGTTCCTTATATAAGAACATTTGATGCTTATGGCATGTTCCTATATAAAGAGACACTTACAAGTTGTCTCTACTTTGTTTGATTTACTATTTACCCATTTATTATCTCCAACTCACTCTCTCTCCCTCCACTTCTCTTCTTAATAATTTAATTATTTCTGATCTCTCTTCCTTATTAATGAGGGCATTTTTGAAAAAAAGTTTATATATTTTTAATTTTAATATATTTTAATTTGATCAAACTTCGGTTATATTTTCTTTAATAAGGAACGGAGGGATAATATATAAGATAATGTAATTAATAATAATTAATATGTATATATATATTTATAAAATATAAGATTAAATATGTTTATAAAAAAATAATTGAGGGGTGTTAAAGTCATATTATCATTGAGATTTACTCTGACAGGTACAATCATACTTTCCAATTTGACCCAAAAACAGAATGGATTTACTTCTTTTGAAATTATAGTTCTGAATCCAAAACTATGGTTTTAATCCAAAACTATAGTTTTTGTTTTTTTTGAGTGTTTGGCAATCTCTTTCTCCAAATCATGGTTTGGGATGATACCCAAACAGCCCCGTAAATAGAGAGAAATATGGAGAAACCATAGTTTGGCCTAAAATCATGGTTTTAGAGCCTAAAACCATGGTATTTTGCTTTTTGGCTCAAATTTTATTAAGTAGAAAAGGGTCACCGATACATGACAAAACAACTCTCAATTATTCATTCTTTTTTTCACTCTTTATTTTGCCTTCGGTCTTCGCTCTACATGACAAAGCTACCTCAATTATTCATTCCTTTTTTTTTAAAATCTTTAAAGAAAATTAATCTATTTATGTTAGCTAAAAAAATCATTTTTCTATAAACATATTTAATCTAATGTTTTATAAATATATATACACATATTAATTATTAATTATATTTTCTGATATATTATTAATTATATGGGTAAAAAATATATTATTAACAGTTTTATTCTTTCAAATTAAAATATATTATAAAAATATATTTTTTTATATAATTATCATATTAACTTATGTCTTTTTTAGTAATTTGTACATATAAAAAGTGTTTTTTATAATAAATATCCAAACAGTCACTTTATAAGAATCACTTTTTCACAAAATCTATTCTTTATAAAGTTTATTCTCCTAAAAATCTATTTTGCAGAAATTATTTTTCAGATCATAGTTTGCTTTTATTCAAACACTTTTTGAGGCGGAAATGATTAGTTGCATTATTAAAAGAGTGAGGGAGACTGGGAGTATGTAAAAAGTGGAGAGAGAATCTGCACCGAGGATGGTCTTCCGACCAGGCCTCATCCGGGGAGGCTTAATTTCTCAGAATCTGGTCAAAAAGTCAATCCCCACTGATTTCTCTCTCCTCGCTTCCAGCTCATCCCACAGAGAGAGGAGAGAGAGAGGGAGAGCCCACCCAGAGAGAGAGAGAGAGAGACGAAGAAATGCTAGAAAACCCTCCTCCCGCACCATTACAATCGGCAGCAACGGATTCGCCAGCGCCTGTCAAGCGCTATGCTCCTCCGAATCAGAGGTAAACATGGCGTCGTAACCATCTTCTTTGTAAATGAATCACAACTGTGTCCCTCTGTTTCTGATTGTCTTTTCTTTGCATTTCGCCCCGATTCTGCAACTGGATTGCAGGAACCGTTCTAACAACAGGCGCAAGTCTTCTGGTCAGTCTATTTGTGATTCCCTTTCTTTTGAATGATTTCAACTTCCGCACGTGTTTCTTATTACTAAACTTTCTATATGGTGTGCTATTCATGTTGGAATATGCTGCTGAATCTGTCTGAATTAAGTTGTCTTTCAAGGGTAGGAAAAAGGAAGAAGGCTAGGAAAAAGGAAGATATATTTGTTCTCTTTATTTCAAGGCAATGCGTGCCCTTAAGTATTTTTGCTTCGAACTCAAACGGATCGCTCGAAATGGGGGTCAGAAGACCACATCTTAGGACTGGGCAAGCTGGTGATTTAGCAATGCCTCAAACATATAGACCCTTTTGTTTAGTGAGCGGGGAGTCATAATTTTGTATTTTTGGGGTTAAAAACGTTGGAGTTTTGTTTGGTGAGCTATTTATTAATAGTCACTCAATTATGGAATATTTATTACCTATTTTCGTCTATTTAGTTGCTCCTCCTAGGACCTATAATGTTTGTCTGGTTTAAAGAGAAGGCAGTGACCAGAGAGATGTTTATCAGTAAAAGCCTCACCGAAGCAACTCCTGGTGGGGTTGTATTACTGTTTACGGAAGGTCAAGTATAGGGGAAAAAATATATTTTTGGACCAAATGATATGGCCAAAATAAGTGTGATTCCTGATCAAAGTATAGCAATTTTTGAGGATTTAATAACTCTATGATCAGTCTGTTCTTTAGTCTTCTGCTGCGTGCTGCATGATGTAAGTTTGCAACAACAACAACAAGCCTTGTCCCGCTAGGTGGGGATGGACTTGCTGCATGATAAACAAACAAATAAATGGATAAACTTTGTCACTGTACTTCCAAATCTTTTGTTACTGAAAAAACAGCTATGACAAGTTTGAAGCTTGAAGCTCCCGGAGTTGATGTGATCTAACTATAATGATTTTATATTCTTGTGTTGCTGGAGTTTCTTATGTACAGTTCAAGCAATTTCTTTTAAAAATGTTCAGGGACGTAGACCCATGAAGTGGAATTGACCAGAGGGAGAAATCGAACTCTTTTAAAAGCAATTAAAATTGCAGAGAGATGAATATATGTTTTTATCATTCCCTGATTATTAGTCTATTTCGTTGTCTAGTCTGGTCACATGTAATGATAATTTATGCATTGGTTTTGCTTGATTGATCACTAATTTTGTGGGATTAGATCGGCGGTTTGTTTCCTTATGTTCCCTGTCATTCAATAAAATCTGATTTCAGAGTTCAAATTCTTTGAAATTTCCCAAAATTCTGTGTTTCATCAAGATTACAGCGTTAAAATTGACCACATATTTGCTTACAACAGTCTGGGGCAAATGGCAGAGCTGGTGGTGCATTTGTTGTCGATTTCTGTTCTGAATTATGACTGTTCTTTGCTGCTCATTCCTGGCTATTGATTATTGATAGTTTCTATAAAAATGTCTAGATGGGCTTGATCAAGCAAACAGTCTTGGGAATGATTTGGAAAAGAATCAACATGCTTTAAGAAGTGTTCCTGTTCCTGATCATGGAGATGCTGGTGGCGGTAATCATAAAGAGAATCAGTATTCAGGACTCGTGGGATTAGAAGGGTGCAGTAATAGCAGAGCTTCGCAGCTTATGAATGATCGTATGTATCTCCAACTACTGCTTGAGAAGAGATTTGTAAATGTTAATTACATACTTTTTATTCTATTATTCAATAGGCTTCCTATCATAGAAAAATTGTGACAATGACTTTGTTAGAACCGGTTTATTTGGGCTGAAGTATTCAAAGTTGTTTAGCTTGCAACCCATATAGGCTTTTAACTTTTAAGTTCTCTGTAGAATACTTTGTTGGTAATTTGATATACGTTGACCTCTAATATGCTAATTTTTCGGCAGTATAAGGATCAAGTGGCTTTTGTTAGATTGTAAGGTGTACTGAGGTAGCTCAGAATCGGCGTTTAAATTGTTTTTTATCCATGTTCTGTTTCCAAAATACGGGGTAACCAATTCCAAGTCTAACAATTGTCAACACCATTAGTTTTTTTTTTTGGCTCTTGCTTTATGTTAATGGATATTAATGTTTAACAGGCATGTCGAGTTTACTTGCTTATGTTAGAGCGATTTGCGTATGTCAACACCAAAATTGTACAGGAACAAAACGGTATTAGGGGATTTGGTTTATATATATTGATCTTATACTCACTACTTGTTAGTTGCATGAGTGTGTAACTTTCATGTGAGTAGAAAAGTGTCAAGTCTTTTGACTCTTCAACTGTCCATGACGCGGAATTTGCATTTATTGGTCTACTGAGAGGAGGGGAGGTTAAAAAAAGGAAAATCAAGTGATGATTGTTGTTCACCTACTTTAATGACTTCATATGCTAGTGCTTTTCTATATCTGTTATGTATTTTATTGGCCGTTCATATATTTATATTTCAGGTTGGACCGCTGCTATGCAGTCCTACAATAATTCCAAGGATTCATCTGGTCAGTGGATATCCTTGAACTATGATAAACTTCTTCATCCTTTGAAAATTTTACACTTTATTAATTTGTTTGTTAATCTTTTGATGATGATGGAACTTGGACTGGACTGATCTTGTTATAAGCTGAAATCAGGTCATCAATGAAACAGTGAATTGAGACAGACAAATTATTTAGACAGACTAATTCTTCATGTGTTGGTAGGCATTTTCTGTGAGTCAAGTTGATTTTATGCTGACTTTCTAGTGGAATTGGGAGGAAGGAAAAAGTACTGTCAACTCAAAAATCTGAGATCTAGCTTAGTTATTTGTGTTGAATTCGATAACCTTCTTTTTCTTCTTGTATCCAGTAGGAAAATGATCTTGCTCATTTAATAAAACATTAATTATCAGGTGATGTTAAACCATCCAATAGATAATGCTTGCGACTTTCATGATTACGGCTGATAAAAATTTTAGAGTTAGTAGTGTTGTGGTCTTGGATAGGTTAAACCATTAAAAACACAAGGAAGGAGTTTGTTGTGCCATTCCTCTTTACTTCAATATTTTCTTTTTGGTCCAAATGTGGGTTTGACAATATCCAACGGATTTCCAAACGCAAAAAAATTATAAGAGATAGGATACTATAGTATTTTATTATGTGCCATATGTTGGCTTGTCCTTGATGCTGGACTACACTCTCTCTCTCTCACACAAACACATTTGCTTTATACTTCAAATTTCAGAAAAGCCAGTTATTTATTCAGGAGGGACAGCAGCATGGACTCATTTAAGACTTCCTCATCAGGTAAAAGCTTGAATATGGTCAATTTCTCTTCTCCCAATCTCTTGGACAGAAATATCACTCTGATCTCTGATGAAAAATGCCCAAGCTATGAGCTTGGGAGAATTTGATCTTATGCTTAAATTTTAAAATTCTTTGCACTCTTTCAGGTTGTGTCTTCAGCACCAGGTAATGCAGCTTCTGCTTCACATATGGACTTCCTGGGAGAACTTCGCCGCCAAATGAACAGTTCTAATTCTGAATTTAACCCCTGATCACATGACATGTTTTTCTTAAACAAGTTCTTGACTGAACCTGGTTTTGCTGATGTTCAATTACTTGTCTTGTCTGAGACTCGTGCTGGTTTTTGTGGCATGTCAGTATATATAATGTATGTAACTGGGGATCCGATCAATATTCTTCCATGCCCATATATGCAATGGGTATACTATTTTGCTCATGTCTGATTGCTAGTGTGGTTCCAGTTATCTAAACAGTTTAGATATTGGAGCTTGCTCCTTCGCTGTCTTTGAAACAGGAAAATGCCCGGGGTAGAAGCAACTTTCGTGCTTCTATAGTGAGAAAAATCACAATTGAAAGATTTTTTAGCGGGCCACTTTACTATTTTTCTCTTAAATTATTCTTTCTATTTTAGTCATTAACAATTTAAATTATCAAAAATTGGTTAATACCAATAAAAAATGTGAACTTTAAATTTATTTTTTTAAAACTTTTAGAATATGTTTTAGAAAATTGTAAGTTTATTACGTTATGATTCTACGTAAATATGTTTATTATTTGAATTAAACATTTTTATTAATGAAATATGAAAAATATGATAATTTAGACTTCTTTATTATTAAAAAAAAAAAAGAGTTAACTTGAGACATAACAAACAGATTATAAATAATCATAGAGCAAAATGAATCTAAATCAAAGAAGTATGTTATAATCTTTAGCATATTATATAAATTATAAATAAATTTATAAAACAAGCTTTGAAATATTTCATCCTTAATTAGATGACGTGTGTAGTCTCACGTGTTTAATTAGATAACATACAAAGTTTTGTGTAAAAAATAAAATTGAATTAAAGTAGGTATATATGGACACGCATATCAATGAATTTGGTGATTGATAATATCATTTTAATAGATCTCAACTATTTAAACTCATATAGACCAATAAAGAATAGATTTATACTGAACAAATGAATAAAAAAAACTAATAATATTGATAAGATGAATGAAGTGGGGGTCAGGCAAGAGGAAAAGATGAAAAAGATTAATAGCGAAAAGCGTGGGGACTGATGAAATTGAAAAAAAAGAAAATATGCAAAAAAAAAACATTTGAGGAGTAAAAAAAAAAAAAGAACATCTGCAGAAGAATAGTAGGGGCTGAGAAAAAAATAAAAAAAGATTTTTACTGAAAATGATAAACTTAAAATACTTAAAAACTAGCATGTGTAATTTAGTCAGGATGAGAAATAATATTTCTCTCTTCTCTAAAAAAATTCAAATTTGGAGAGGAGTAAAAAAAACAGAGAGAGAAGCACTAAAAGATAAAAAAAATTTCTTCCCTCCTTTCTATTTTTCCGAACCAAATACAGTTTCTCCTCTCTTTTTCTCCCCTCCCTCCAAAAACCTTCCAACCAAACATTACGTAATGAAGAAGTAAAGAGGGAAAGAGAGAGGAGGAGTTTTAATGAAACCGAAGGAAGGGGAGATATTTTATGGCTATTCTTGTTTGGTTCAAAAGAGAAAGAGAGGAGGGGAAGAGAGAAACTATTATATCAACGACTTTGTCCTTATTTTATTTTTATATGATAAAATATTTTTGTATGTATTTTCATATGCTTATTAACTTCATTAGTTGGTCAAAATCTCAAAAATCTATTATAACTCTTATACTACTCTATGATAAAAATGTTTTTATATGCAATTTAAAAAATGGTTTTATTAATAGACTATGCATATATAACTTTATTAGAAATAATGCAAATATCATTCAACTTATAATTTTGCATTTGTTCTTCGATTTTTGTTTTTTTTGGCATAGTTTTCAGAGGACACTTAACGTAAACTTGTTACATGTGATTGATTGATTCATGTAAGTTTTACTGTATCTTAAATGACCAAAGTAATTAAAATAGAAAGTAAGAATGATGTGCCACATTGTGATTAGTTAATTAATGTGATCCCGTTTTACTTCTTTACATCAAATCAAGGATGGAAGGTAGATAATTTCCTAAATTCACATTCTAATTTAATTTTTCTAAAAGACCATGGTCTTAGTACATAAGTATCCAAATTCGTGGTCGTTTTTAGCAAATTTGTGTTTCATTTGGTCTATTTTAACAAATTTTCCAAAGTGACTTTTCTAATTGCAATGAGTGCAGGCTAATTTTGAAAGCATTTTACTCACCATAAAGAATATTAATTTTTTTTAGTCACCACCATAAAGAGTATTAATTACATGTATGTAGTACATGCAATAATTATTCTTACCCTTGCTTATTAACTCATTTTGGCCGGGAAAAAAAGATCAAATTAACTCATGAATAGTAGTGTACTGTTTATGGCTTCATGCATGAAATCTCTCATCCTTGCACTACTTAGGATCTGTTGGGATCAACGATTGAAAAAGTAGCTTATTGTCAATTTAGCTTATAGAAAAGTGAAGTTGAATAAAAGCTAAATTGGATAAGATGAACTGTGTTTGGGTTAGAGTTTAGAAAGTTAGTTTGCAAAAGTGAGACTAATAAAGGGTTGTTTGGATTATGGTTGAATAAAAGTAAGTTTAATTGTATAATGATACAAATGGGTATGAGTTTTAATAAATAATAAAACATGATTAAAAAAATGATTTCACATCAAAATTAAAATAATTTAATATGAAGAAGTCAAATTTAATGAGTGAATTAAATTTTAAAACTCTAGAGAAATCATAAAAAATATTTTTAAATATAAAGTGAAACATGAAAAAATAAAAGTATATTTCTAGGAGCATATTTAAAAACAAAAGTATATTTCTAACTTATTTATTACTTTCAACTAATTTTAACTGATTTTTTGTTATCTACAAATTAGTTATTTAAGATTTATAATAAGAATCAAAGGAGGTAAATTTTTTTTAACTTCTTCTCTCTCCATGTTTCAAAAGCTACAAGTCATAAGCTATAAGTCATAAGTTGTTAATTTTAGCTTATAGCTTATTGTAGCTTTTCATACAAAAACCAAATTGTCCAATCACTCATCAAAATAGCATCCAAATTTTCAATCGGGCTTCTGCCCAATTTAAGCTATTTTTCACCATTGAAAAACCCAACCAAACAGGCACTTATAGTTACTCTCGAGTTGAAACAATAACCCTAAAAATCATAATCAGATTATTTTATTATTTTTATATTTTTCATAGTCCTTTATTGAAAATCCCTAAAAAAGAAGTATGAATATATAAAATTTCAATTCAACCAGCTAACAGTTGAAATAACAGTGAAGGAAGTGAAATTTGAATTGACATTTTAAAACTATTATGAAATTACCCATATACTCTTCCGTGATATAAATGATATTAATAGAACTGGAAATGATAAGTGTCGAGTTGGTAATGAAAAGTGTTGAACGAAAATGACAAGTTTCATAATTTTTTTTGTTCTCCATTATTTTAGCTAGTTAGTTAATTAACAAGTTGTGAACTAAAAATAATAAGTAGTAAACTGCTAATGACAAGTATTTAACTTGAAATTACAATTTCATAATATTTTTGGTCCTTTTTCATTATTTTAGTTAGTTAATTAATTAACAAGTTGTGAATTAAAAATGACAAGTGTTGAATTGACAATGACAATTATTAAATAGGAAATGACAAATTCATAACTTTTTTTTTCCCACAAAAAGACATATGGGTAATTTCACAAGATTTTCAAAATACCAATTTAGGTCTTACTTCTTTTCCAGTTATTTGCAAGTGTTACTTGCCTGAATTAGAATTTCATATGTTCACATTCTTTTTTAAGGTTTTTCCTTCTTTGTTTTAATGGATGCATAATATAAATAAAAATAAAGATAATTTTTTAGCAACATCTTGTCAAAATTTATAAATAAAAACCCTTTTAAATCAGATATTAGTGAAGCTTAACAAACGGAGATCAATGGTCATGGGATGCTTTCTTTTCTAAACAAGGAGCTGGTCACTTGGAATCTTACCCATGAAGCAGGGCATCGTCACTTGTACTTTTTAGTTATATTTGTTGGGAGATTTGGGTAGCTAGATGTCATCATCTTTTTGGCACCCCTGACACGGATTATCACATGACTGCCCCACTAGTCTTTTCAGAGTTTGCTTAGATCAGGATTTGAAAAACAGTTGTAATTTTTTTCACAAATGCAAACCTTTTAATGCAGAACATGCACAAAGAACATTAGAGAATGTGGTCAAGCTTGAGGTTGACAGCTTAGTGCTTCAAGATGGAAGGAGTGACTGTGGTGGTGCCACTAAGGATGTGGCTAACAACTGGATTAGTGGTTTTAGTTGCAAACTTACAAATGATCCCCTTTTCATAGCGGAATTGATTGGTACAATTCATGATCTTAACATTTGTCGGAATAAAGGTTTGAAGAAAATAGCTATTTACTCTAAGTTTCTGTTTGGTATGATGAAGTATTGAAAATAAGATGTAGGGATTAGGATTAAAATTTTAAAAAAAATGTTAAAAGAGTTTTTTTAATGAGTGATTGCTTATTACTTGGGATTAGGCAAATCCATATATGTGGGATTGAAAAATACCATGTGGAAAAGTAGTATTCTCCAATCTTGTCTACATGGGATTAGATAATCCCATGTAACATGAGATTACTCATACTATATACTTTTTAATAGTTTTTCCCAATCCCAACCCTAATTCTTATTCTTCCTTTTTAATGTTTCATGCCAAACTGGATCTAATTGTTTGGAAGCTATTGATCTGATCACGAGGGGATCCCTTTAAAAAGATTATTGATCAAGCTCCATTATGTGTCCATAGAAATGAGCATGTCATGTTTCATTATGTCTATAGGGATGAAAACCATATTGCTAAATATTTCGCTAAGTTTGCGCATAGTCTAAATACATCTTGAGCTTTTTGATCAACCTTCTCCTTTTTACGAGAGGAGGAAGGTGATGAAGGAGATTGAGAGATTGTTGCTATTTGTTCTGTTTTTGTTGACGTGACTTTGTACGCATTTTTTTATTCATTTTGTTTTTGGTCCCAAAAATTCAAACTAAAGTTTTTTGTCCTTGAAATTTGATTAGTTGGAAATTTTAGTCCTTATAAGTTAAAAATTGTTGAATATTACTGATCTGGCACAAATATGGTTAATTTTGATAATGTGGCCTGATAACTAAGTAAAATGAGTTGGCATCTTTGTAGCTTAAATTAAAATTTAAAAGCTAAAAATTGTATTACTCTCGATGCTCCTTTTTTATATTACTATGAATAAATTTGTCTCTTCACCTCATATACAAATAAAATATTCTGACATTATTACCCTATTATTTAATTTTTATCTATTGAGGAGTATTTTATCAGCGTATCATGTCAAAAAAAAAGTATTTAATTGTATTTTTTTGAAAAATACTTATCTCCTGTAATAAGAAAATTTTTAAATCTTATTAACTATTTTAAAATTTAATAATTTTTTAATTTTATTCTTAAATTTCATTTATATATATGTTATTTAAAAAATTACATAATAATAAAAAATGTAAAATTATATATTTAATAAAAAATTCAGTGATATGAGTTATAAATTGAAAATGGTAAAGAATTATTGAAAAAAAATATGGTAAAGAATCTACTTGTAAATAAAAAGAGTAATTTGAATATCAATAACGAGAGAAACTATTTATCTGTATCTCGGGAGGGAAATTGAGAATATCTCCCCGGCTGTCCTATCCCATCTCACTGCGGGCACAGGACAATGCTGCTGGGGCAAGCTCCTCCTGTGAGCTTCAGAACCAAACCCAATTGCTTGGAATTGCAGATTCAAAGCCATGTGCGTCTCTTGTCCTTTGCTCAGATTTGTTTCTGTGACACTCCATGTACGAAAATGCTGCGCTCAACTGTTGGAAATGCATTTCTCGTTAGAGCTGGGCATTCTCCCACACCCAAAGACGTTCTTTCTTGGAACCCTAACACTGCCAACGATGGTTTGAGTTCGAATGTAGAGAATTCACCAGATATTAGCATTGTAACTGAAGGTGCAGATTCTTGGTGCTTCTGTTCTTTCAAGTTGTCGCGACTTTGGACTTCTGTGTTTTCAAATAGAGGAACTTATCAGTGACCTTGATAGTTAGTTATTATGTGTATTTTGTGACAAGGAGAACTTCTTTGATTTACTGAACTTAAATGTTGTCTTCCTTCGGTTCTGTTTATCATAACATCTAAGATGTATTTAGATTGACAGAGTGCTTTCTTTCTTATAGTGCACCGTTTTTTCATTCCTCAGCAAGAAGTTTACTGTTCTGTTTATATAGTCATGCTGAAGTTGTGATTTTGCTTATTCCCTAAATTAGGATACAAGTTCCAGATTTTTTTTTTTTTGGGCCAAAAGAAGTTACAGATCTTTTGAAAACGAATGATGATTGGAATACGAAATACTTTCTTTATATATTAAATATGATATATCGTGCATAATTTTTTTATGAAACCATGCAAGAGCTCATCAAATAATATATGTAAGCTGGAATTAGATAATCGGGCATCATGTATGTTCTGGAGATTCAAGGGTGCTCTGGTCTTTGATAATATAGTTATCTCAAATAATCTTTAGCATTTCACGTTTTCCGATCTATTTCTAAAGGCATGGATCTTGTTCATAGCTTGGAATGTACTTTTTTTTTTTTTTTTTTGTAAATAAATTCTTTTAGGCTGCAGGCATGTCATGATGCATGTTACATAATCAAGACAGGCACAATCCTAATTCACAAGTGCTATGGCCTATCATTTATATGGTTTTCTTAAACATTGATAAGCATTCCCTGTTTTCCCTTTCTTTTTTTTCCTTTTTTTTTTTTTTTTTGGGACCAAAGTTGGCAAAGCCCTAAATGTTTTCCCCTCTATTTCTTAAGGCAGGCGCCTTCCTTATCTATGAATCAAAATTTTTTATCCTTTCAGGACACAAATTATGTCTTATTAGCCCGTGTCTCATAGCTATGCTTTTTCATTCACTCTGTGCTCACCCAAATTTTTGTGGTTTGTCAGGCTTTGAGCGTGATTCGGTTATTACAAATAGTGATTCTATGATAAAATCTAGGGGCAGGTTATCTGGAAGTTTTGACAAACTGAATGCGCAGAAAGTCAAGGGCCTCATTCACAGAACTATTCATAAGAAGCAGGAAAGAAGCATTAATGATGATAACCTGGTTGTGGAACATCCAGAATTAGGAATAGAAGATGACTGGGAACAATCTGAGGAATCAAATTCTCACGTAGGTTATCAGAACACACCCAATAAATCTCAAAACAATGACAACAGAACAGAGAGTTCAGGTATATTAGTTGAAAGACATTCTGCCTCGCGTTTAAAAGGATGGGGTGGTGGAGGATCTTCACGTACTTTTAAGACTGAATCAAAAAAACTGCTAAAGGAACAGAGAAAACGATTGTCTGACAGTGACTTTTTCAGTCGAAAGTCCTTCAAAGATCTAGGATGCAGTGAATATATGATTGAATCTCTGGCAAAGCAATTTTATCTACGGCCTTCACATATACAGGTAACTTTAAGCTTTGTTGCTGAGGAGAAATTATTTAGCTATTGAACATTTGTGTGTTTTCATATATGACATAAGCTGATATGCTTTATGGAAAATAATGTGGTTGTGGGAAAGTATTTTCAATATATGATAGTTTGCATTTCTGAGAAAATGGTTTGTCCATCCATTACATGTGATGCTTGACCACGTGTTTGAAACTGACTTTCAATTCTTTAGAAAGGAAGGTCCTCCTTTTTAAGGACTTTCTTTTACTCTTTTGTTGGATTGGAAATAATTATTACTGCATGCTGCTTGAACACATAAAAAAATGTTTTTTAGGCCGATTACTGCCCATCCTTGGTTAGAAATTCTACACTTCTCAAGTCACTACGTGCTGCTTATTTCTTCACAACAGCTAAGCTCCCCTGTTAATATTTTGGTTAATTGTAGGCCATGGCATTTGAACCAGTATATACTGGAAAGAGTTGTATGATAGCTGATCAAAGTGGTTCTGGAAAGACTGTAGCATATCTTGCACCAATAATTCAGAAGCTTAGACAAGAAGAATTGGAAGGACTTTCCAATTGCTCTTCACAAGCTCCTCGAGTGGTTATATTGGCACCAACTGCTGAGTTAGCTTCTCAGGTTAATTACTTTACTTATATATTCCGCATGACTGTTAGTTTCTTTTTCATTATTGCTCAATGCCCATCATGTTCAAAATGATTGTTATCTTGCTTTCACTGTCTTTTGCTTCTTTCTAAGGAAGCCTATTATGTTTGAAGGTTTTCACTCCCTTGCCCCCCATTTTTTGAAATTTGTTTGCAAAAGGAAAATAATTATTGGATACTCCAATGGCAAGATTAACTTAATGCTAAACATATCTTGATTAAAATAGGACACTTGAGACAAATTGCATTCTAATAAAAAGAGATGATCTATTTAATTCCAAGTTCATGGAAGCGTAATCCAAAAATAACTAAAACAAATAAGTTAATTAAAATAAAGTAAATAAAACGACTAAAAAGAATTTGATTAAAATAGATGTGATTCTCAACGCTCCCCCAAAGATGTTCCTAACTTGGAGCTATCCCTCCATAGCCAGTTTTCTTCTCTAAGATCAATTTCTGTAGTCTTTTATTCCTTTTCTCCGGATATGTGTTAGCTGACTACCAGTTATGAGGACAATGATTTCCTTTTCCATGTGAAAGTTTCATGTCAGCACTATTTCTGTTATAGGTAATGTCCTTTTTTTCCTTACATCTCTTTAAACAAAGAGTAATTGTACATTTTCTTTTATTACATTCCAAACATATGGAGTAGATGTTTGGAAAAATTATTCTAAATGTGCAGTGTCAATGGTGTTGAGGTTTCTCAATAGTGATAATGGTTCTGTTTCATAAATTTTACAGCCAGCTGGTTCTTTCATTGGCTTTCCTTTGTAGTTTTCTATATGTGAAAATTATATAGATGTTTGCAACAATTGAATTTTGATGTCATGGATAACCTGGTGCTGTGTAGGCCAACTACCTGACCGCTTATTTCAGATAACAAAAAGATGTTTTGCATTTTCATCCTACTAATCGATGTAGGGCCAGATAATAAAGAGAAAAGAGGAAAAAAGGGTAGAAAGAAAATGGGAATAAGAAAGTGACATTTTCACCCACTGGTAAAACCTAACTGTCAAGTCTACAGTTAGGTTCTTGTATAGGAAACCAAGAAAATAACCACATGGATTAAAATAAGCACAAGAAATATAACTAAGGCAACATCCATAGTTCAGGCCTTGCTATTAAAAGTCTTATACTATATTCTACAGCATGTGTTTAAATTATTATTCTATTCTTTTATTATGCTTTTCATTAGTAGTATAAATGCTGGTGTCAATTGTTTCTGTGGCAGGTGTTAGCTAATTGTCGATCGATGTCAAAATCTGGTGTTCCATTCAAATCTATGGTGGTAACAGGTGGCTTTCGACAGAGAACTCAATTGGAGAATTTAGAGCAGGGTGTTGATGTTTTAATAGCAACTCCCGGCCGTTTTATGTTCCTCATCAAGGAAGGCTTCTTGCAGTTAACAAATTTAAGATGGTAAATGTGAAGTTCAGGCTTTTTTCCTCTATTACATAAACAACTTTATATTTGTTAACGGTAAAGGGAGAACAAACTTTTACTCTATCTGGAACATGTAACTTTAAACAATAAAGATAGTTGTGTCCTATCAAAATAGGAAAATAACTTAATTAAACTTAACAATAAGCTTGGCCCTTTAGTATTATATGACTGTTGGTTCACAAATTTCATTTTCTACTTTCAAATTCTGGCATTTATTTATTTATTTTACTTTTTTACTCTGAAGTAGGCAGTGATACTATAATTATCTTGCTATTTTCTCTTTAAAATTAAAATAATGATGGACCAAGAGTAAACCATTGCACTGTGGGAGGGTCCAAGTGTGTTATGGCAGTTGGTGAGGTGTCCAAAAGGGTGAAAATTGCCCCATACATGTTGTGAGATGTGGGAGACAAACGTGGAGAGAGGGAGAAAAGGGTGTTATGGTTGAATATTTATTGGAGAGTGGAGGTTCTTTGGTGAATTAAGGAATAAATTAGCTATTCTGTAAGGAGAGAGCCCAAGCTTGCTGTTTGGGCTTTTGTGTGTCTATATCTTGCAAGTGTTGCTGTATCAGACATCTGTCACTGTTCATTGAGCTAAATATCCAGTAGAGGGATATTTCAGTTTCATTTTGGCTTGTGTTCCATTAAAAGAAAAAAATGAAAATAACTTAAGATGATTAACGGTAACTGTAAGCTCGCCCCTTTACTATTATATGACTGTTAATGGCTTACAAGTTTCATTTCATGTTCCACATTCAAATTTTATCTTCTATTTTTTCTCTGGAAGCAGGCAGTGATATGACAATGATCTTTTTAATTTTTATTAGAAAATCATCATCAACTCCCATAGTTCAGCTGACTTAGGACATTATGAACTAACAACATGAAGTTGTGAGAAAAAGTTATTGAACATAGGTTGAAGTTGAAGACTTCTATTTCGAAGAACTAATTTAGATTTATGTCGGGGAGATCCGCAACTGAAGCAACAATCTATTTACTAAGGGGGTTAATGAAAAAATATGGGATTAAAAGAAGGGATTTACATATGGTTTTTATTGACTTAGAAAAAACTTATGATCGTGTGCTAAGAAAAGTACTTTGGAAGTTTTGGAAAAAAAGGCGTACGGGTCGCTTATATCAAAGCCATACAAGATATGTATAAGGGGGTAACTACTAGTGTAAGAATGCCTGGAGTTGAGGCAAAGGACTTCCCCATTAAGATTGGCCTATATCAGGGATCTTCTTTAAGCTTTTATTTGTTTTAATATTGTTTTGGATGTTCTAATCGAGCTTATCCAAGAAAGAATCCCTAAGTCCATACTCTTCGCGGATGACATAGTTCTCATGGCAGAGTCAAAAGAAGAGATTAACTCTATATTGGAGTTATGGAGAAGGACTTTGGAGTCAAAAAGTTTTCGCTTGAGTAGAAACAAAACAGAATATATGCATTGCAATTTTGGGAGGAGGCAAAGCAATAGAGATTTGACGGTGAAGATGGGGAATCAAATCATTCCTTAAGTATCAAAGTTTAAATATCTTGGATCCATTATACATGAGGATGGTGAAATTGATGGAAACGTTTCTTATAGTATACAAGCTGATTGGTTAAAGTGGAGGAAGGCTACCGAGTTATTTGCGATAAGAAGGTACCTAAGAAGCTTAAGAGAAAATTTTATTGGACTGCTCTATAAGACAAGCTATGTTGTATGGTAGTGAATGTTGGGTGATCAAGGGAAAACAAGAGCACAAAGTTGGGGTAGCAGAAATAAGGATGTTGAGATGGATGTGCGGTCATACAAGAAAAGATAAGATTCGAAATGAAAATATCAGAGCAAGAGTTGGTGTGCCGCCTATCCAAGAGAAAATGGTTGAAAATCGTTTAAGATGGTTTGGACATGTACAGAGAAGGCCATTGGAGGCCTCGGTAAGGAGGGTAGATAAGATAATATGGAGTCTCATAAAAAGGAGCAAAGGAAGATCGAGAAGAACGCTCAATAAGGTCGTTGAGCGAAACTTCCTAGTCAATAACATATCTGAAGATTGAGTTGTTGACAGAGTATGATGGCGTCATGTGATTCATGTAGCTGACCTCACCTAGTGAGATAAAACTTCTTGTTGTTGTTAAGTTTTATCTAGGTTTTCCTTTGTAAGCAGATAGGATAAATGTGATTTCTTATTGTCTTAAATACTCCGTGGGACCTAGCAAACCTACTAACCTATTTTCCTAGCTTCTTTCTCCTTGTGTATTAATTGCAATAATATACATTAGCATTTTCATGTTTATTTTTAAAATCTTGTTTAACATAAGAAACTTTTGTTGCAGTGCTGTGTTGGATGAGGTAGATATACTTTTTGGTGATGAGGATTTTGAAGTGTCGCTTCAGTGCTTGATTAATTCTTCACCAGTTGCCACACAATATTTATTTGTGACCGCAACTTTACCAAAAGACATTTACAATAAACTAGTTGAAGTTTTTCCTGATTGCGAAGTGATCATGGGACCTAGCATGCACCGGATAAGCTCTCGACTTGAGGAGGTTGGTAATGGGTTGCAAACTTCGTTTTGGTGTTCTTTGTTTATCTTTATTGAGCAGAAGATAGTATATTTTAATGAGAAATATAAAGTGTATATTTGCTGGTTGAAATATTTGAACTGAAATGCCAGAAGGTTTGAAATTTATTTGTAATTTTTTGCCCTAATAACTTTTTCGCAATGTTTTTGAGCATTCTTCATCACCATCCTACTTGGAACTTCAGCTTGATGAAGTTATAAACCTATTATGCTAGATCTCCTTTTATATATTTTAGAGTACTGGACTGCTTTGGATTTTGGCTTGTATTTATACAAATAACTCTATTTTCATGTTATTTGCGTTACATGCACATTTTATTTGTTCTTCGTTGATTGTTTTCATCAGCTTCTCTGAACTTCTCCTTTGCCCTATATTCAGGTTCTGGTTGATTGCAGTGGAGCTGATGGGGAAGAAAAATCCCCCGATACAGCATTTCTTAATAAGAAAACAGCTCTTCTACAGATTGCAGAAGGAAGTCCCGTCCCAAAAACCATTGTCTTCTGCAACAAAGTAAGCTCCAATAGAACTTTTGGGTGCTCACTCTTAGGGCCAACGAAATGGAAAAAGTGATTTTGAGAATATGAAAAGATTCTGACGTTCCTAAAAGTTTAATGAGGGAAAAAGATATTGTTGAGTGATGATTACAGATATGCACTAAACGTTATCCCTTCTTACCTTTATTTCCAAGCGGGGCATTTTAGTTTCTTTACCTCATTCATTGAGCTGTTAGCATTATGGTATAATTCCCCAAACATAATGAATAATGGAGTTTCTACTTTTTATCACACAAATTGCAGATTGAAACCTGCAGAAAAGTTGAGAATGCATTGAAGCGATTTGATAGGAAAGAGGCGCGCGTACAAGTTCTACCTTTCCATGCTGCCATGACACAGGAATTACGGCTTGCTAACATGGAAAAGTTTACACATTCTCAATCAAAGGAAGTCTCCCAGTTTCTGGTTTGCACTGATAGGTATGTCGCATGTCATGCATAATGATGCTGTTGTTCCCCCCTTTTAATCTAAAATTCGAGCTGTTTCAAGCCCCAAATGAGAGAGGAAGGTCACCCAACTTGCCTCTTTGTTTTTTAATCCATTTATGGCTTGAATTTGAAATTCCTTTTTGATTAATCCATTGTTATCAGCGACTTTGTGACATTTTAGAATCGTAAGGTTTGAATTGTGACTTGTTATGGAGTATTTGAGATATAAACCATGGATCATATGATTTTGATTACTATGCTGTAACCTGATGCAGAGCGTCACGAGGTATCGACTTTACCGGAGTGGATCATGTTATACTTTTTGACTTCCCACGTGACCCGAGCGAATATGTCCGCCGTGTTGGAAGAACTGCAAGGGGTGCTGCTGGAAAGGGCAAGGCATATATCTTTGTGGTTGGCAAGCAAGTATCACTTGCACGTAAAATCATGGATAGAAATAGGAAGGGTCACCCTCTACATCATGTGCCTTCTGCCTATGAGCTCATGAAGTAGAAACCTTAAAGCTGCACACATTTATAGGTTTCTCTAAGGAAACTTTCACCTTTGTGAGCCATATTCAACTTGTATAAATATTATATATCTTTTTGATCAAAACGTATTTCTGACTGCTTCCTCTATCCATCATAAAGTTTATTTTGTAGGCATGTGGTTTTTGCGTTGAGAAAAAAACTGAATATGGGCAAGAATAGATGGGATATGCTTTATTGAATGATCAAATAAATTCTAATTTTTTTCCATTAGATTAGGCAAGACTTTTCTAAACTCGGAATCGTTTGCATACTAAATCTTTAGTTTTAAAAACTCAACGATAGACCTCCTTAGATTTTCACGCCTATGCAGATAAGCTCAAACTATTAATTTTATGTTCATTTCAGTTTTACTTGCGACGTATATAATTCTATCAAACTTTGAACTGTGTGAATAAACTTTTCAAATATTGAAGATATTTGCAAATAAATAATGAATAAAATTAATAGTATATGAGACATTTTCATAAATGCAAAAGTTTTGGGAGGTTTATGGTGAAGTTTTAAAGGATAAGGATGTCATATGATCTGAAATTTATGAAGTTTTTTGTACAATTGAGTTTTTTTTTAATAATAAATGGAAATCAAACTTTTGCTTTTATTTTATGTCAATTTTTGTAAAAAGGTGTCTGTCTTGCGAGAATCATGAATATGAAAATTTGGCTTTTACTTTAGTGCAACATTTGTAGAAGAATGCGTACTATTGGAGTCTTGTAACTTACTATTCAGGTCTCTTCCATTGTAAATACAAGTTGAAACCTCTAATAATAATAGCAGTGTGTTCCTTATGAATTGTCTCTAGGTTTTTTCTTCGTGAAAACTTGACTCGTTAATATTCTATTTTTATTTTTAGATATTTAAATATATTTTGCACTTGCTTCTCATAGAACATCCTGTGCATTAGAAAGAATTTGACCATGATGTATGTGAAATAGTTTTCTTATTGAAACTTAGTTATGATGTTATGAGATTGAGGTCTTAATATGGCCCCTACGAGTAGATTGAGTCTTGTAGAATAAGCTAATCCTTTATAACATGACAAATTAAAATTCCAATCTTTAGTAAAAAAAGTACCCACTTTTAATACCCAATAGCGTTTCAAATAGAATTACTTTCAATAAAATGACCTTAGCTAGTGAGATCTCATGACTCTTGGAAGTGAGTTTGTTTGATCTAGACAACAAAAGTTATTTTTTGTCTTGAAGTATAAAAAGACATTTTACATGTGAATTTTCGTAGACCTAATGTGATTTCATTTTCTTAAGATTTCATTTTCATGTGGTATGCCAAAATAAATTTTGAGCTTCTTTTTCTTGGCAACTTGAACACATCTTCATTTCTTAGTGTGTATATATAAAATATGATACTCCCGCACTCTTTAATATAGAACTTGGTTATTAAATTGATTTTGGTCCTAAATATAAGATCTATTTATCATATTTATTGATTTTTCTTAAATTATTTCTATGAATACTCCCTCAACTATAATCAAGTAGAAAAAGAAGAAAGGACACTAAAGAAGATGATTATGGTGTTTTAAGAAAAATATGTTATATTTCTTATAATTAACTAACTTACTTAACTTTCTTAATCTAATCAAATTAATTAAATAATTCTTATATTAAGGACTGGAGGAGTACTTGATTTATATTTATATATATGTATATACATAGTTTTGTTTTTGATTTGGCAAGCGTTTTTAGGCACGGCTTGAATCCGCAGCATGGGCTGGTGCAACTTGAGGCAAAAACTTATGACGATGTATTTTAATTTTGTTGGTTTTGTTGGGTAATTTCCAACTGAATGCGTTAATAAAAAACAGTAACTACTCCTATAAAACTTAAAAACTAGCAACTCAATATAGCGTTGAAATGCAACGCGCAAAGGCGGGAGTTTCTTCATCGGTACGGAGAGTTAAATTATCCGACCGGACCCGATCCGAACGTAAAAATTTTCACTTCGCTTTCTGCGTTGGGTTTAGTCTCTTGTTCTTCTTCTATGCACGTTCATCGCTGCGTGATTCGCTTCTCTTTTCGCTTTCTTATCTAAAACCAACTATAGCGGTTCTGTCGGATGCTACCCAGCTATTTGGTTTGTGAGACCATATTTAGCTGTTAGTTGGCGGCTATCGTCGGTGTGATGCCGACACCTGTAATTAATTACGTGAAGTTGAGTGCCTTCCGTTGTCTCAGGACAAATTTAAAGGCGGAATTTTGTCGTGGGTACGTATTCTCATTTGCTAAGAGGTCAAATTTCATGAACTTGTGCCTCTTAATTACATAATTAGGAACATGGATAAGGGCATTATCTAGTCGTAGCTGAACGGGTGATCATTTGTTTGATTCTTATAAGCTGTGAATTTAATCAGGACTGAAGCTTTATGCAAATTATTATCGTCATTTCTAGCCTAATGGAATTTCAATTTTCCACTTTCTGCATAATTGGTTGTACATTAGCTGTCTAGTTATGTTGTGGGGATATGATTGAATTACTTAATTTTAGAATACGTGGTTGGTGTCAAACTACTCAATATATCTATTTGTGTACTGACAGCAGAGGCACTGGTGTTAATTCATTTTTTTCATATACAAGCATCCAGATTCAATCTTATAATTGTATTAAAAATTTAAAGAAAAATCTTAAGTAATCGAAATGTGAATCGATTACTTACAAGCTATCTTGTCATAGGTATTTTATTTTATCTTATCTGTTAGCCTGAGGAAGAGTACAAGCCTTGAAAAGTTATATGTTACTAGCTACTTGTGAAGTTCTTATGATTATTACAAATTTCTTGATGGTATTAGGCCATACTGAATTCGGTAGTATGTTTGCCTTTGATAAGGTTCTGCATTCTTATTTTTATAATTTTATTTCAGGTATTTTTAAATGGCTAACATTTTCAATTAAATACTGAAAATTTATCCATGGAGATAGATCTTGAGCTGCCCACATATCATCAGGGGAAGTCAGAATTTGGATCCTTTAGAAACGATGTGGCTGATTCTGCTTGCGATATGCGCGTTGAGGAGCAAAGTACTAATTTTCCAACAGTAACTGAACACTGTAAGGAAGTCTTTTGTGAAAATGTGTTGTTTTGTCAGGAGCAGGTGCATGCTGTTAATCAAAATCCTATAAAAGAGCCTCAGAATGGCCTGGAATTTGAATCAAAGGAGGCTGCTTATTTTTTCTACAGAGAATAGGCTCGCTCTGTGGGATTTGATATCACAATAAAAGCCAGTTGGCGCTCAAAAAAGTCTGGTAAGTTTGTTGACATTAAAATTGCTTGTTCAGATTTGGAAGCAAGCGTGAATCTGGTGCAACTGCTAATCCACGACCATGCATGAAAACAAACTGTAAGGCTGGCATGCATTTGAAAAAGAAGCCAGATGGCAAATGGATCATATTTAGTATGGTGAAGGTGATAGCATACCAAAAAGTGTTCAATATGGAGGTCTTGAAGCCCAAGAAATACTCATCCAATTAGAGGCCCAATCAGCTCTCCAAAGTGCTCAAAGGATTTATAACTTTAGAATGCTTACATGGAGGATGATATGGATTATTGCTTAGACGATGACATGGATACATGTGGAGCTTGACGTAACATATGGAAAGCCACCCCGAAAGCCACCATGGCATGTGAGTCATTAGAGTGTAAACACTTGGACCTTAAGAAAGACAAGAGCGCGTTCTCAGAGCCTAAAAGGAGAGATGATTTTGAATAATTAATAAAATGAGAATTTTATTTCTCTTTGTGTGAGCCTTGCTTGCATCCTCGTATTCTCGTGAGAATACTCGACAGTATCAAGGGATTGATCAGCCTTGTGATGTCTTCATGACTAAGGTTATAAGAAACAGGTTCTCTTAAGGTCTTATTTAAATCAACCGTCCGTCCGTTACTTGATTCTAGCTGGTCCGTACGTCCTCTCATATCAAGTGGCATCAAAGTTAAGGTTTGCTAGCTTTCAAGTTCTATCCTTTTGATGTTTTCATTTCTTTTTTTTTTTGCTTTCTCTATTGCTTCCGTTTTCCTTTCGTTTCCATTCTTCTCATTTTGTCTTCTCTTTCTTCTTTATTTCTATCTTTTTATTATTTTTTTTCATTTTTTTCCTTTTCATCTCCTTCCCACCCATTATTTTCCTTTGTTCATTTGACTTGCTTTGTTCTTTTGAGTGGCAAAAACAAAAAAAGCAACAAAAAAAATTCGTGAAAAAAAGTGCTGTTGTGTTGAAACAAAAAAAAAAAAAAGGCTACAGAATTGCTGAAAAAAAAATTCGAAAATTGAAAAAAAAAAAAGAGAAAGAGTTTCAGATTTTGAAGATTGCAACATAAAAGGCAAGTTTCCTAATTTGAAAGAGCTTCCATTGCAAGTCATAATTAATTTCCTAAATCTTTATTCTTGGACGGTAAGACTCATTCTTTCCTTTTTCTACTTCCCTTTCTTTTGCCTAGTTTCTATTTTGAATTCCTTTCATTTTCATACTACTTTCCTATTCTTTTTCTTCAATTTTTCTTCTTTCTTTTGTTTCCTATTCCTTTTCCTTTCTTTTCATACTACTTGCCTAATTTTAGTTCTTTTCTTGTAAGGTACTCACTTTCCTAAATACTTTGTTCATACTTTCCTTTCTTTCCACACCCATATTTGTGTCTATAATTTTCCTGTCAATTTTCTATACGTTTTTTTCCCTTTCCTATCCCTCTCTATATAATTTTTTTTATCATATACTTCTATCTCATATTTTTCTTTATTCCCCACTTTCATCCCATATCCTTTTCTTTTCTCTCATGGTTTCTTACCAATTTTGGTTGTGAAGAATACCACAAACTAATATTGTCTCTTGATTTTGTTGAGTTTCAATCAAGAATATTATAGGAGGCAAGCTTGAGTGGTAAAAGGCAAGAGTGTTTTGTGTCAATTTAAAAGCCAAATTTGAGAGAAACATGAGTGGCATAAATTGTTTTGAGCAAAACACATGAGTAGAGTGGTAAGGTCCATTCTTCTCTCTATTTCTAACCTTTCAGGTACCAAATATGTATGGTCATAAAGAGCTTAGGGAAGATCTCAACTCCTTCCTAAAAAAAGTCCAAAAGCT